TTTGAATTTATTTTGTCTGTATGCTTTCAGTGTGAAACAGAACAAAACCTTAAAGAGCCTCATAGTTCTATTGTGGTGAATGAAAACCTGCAAATACAGGACTGAATCGAAAAATCCATCATGCATTTATTAGCAATGTTGTTTTACTACCTTGTCATCAATGTTCAGAAAGAGTACTGCAATTGAAGGCTCGAAGGAAACACAGGAGCTTTATATACAGATATCTTCTTTAGTCTTTGATAAGGTTCTGCAGTGATAATTCGTGGAGAAAATAGTGTCATAAAGCAATGGACAAAAAGAGCTTGCAGGATAAAAAGCAAATCCAGTAACAGGAAATAGTATCATTTTGGCAGGAAGGTCAGATAAAGTGGGAAGATAATTTCCTACAGGTGACATGACTTCCATAGAGTCACAAAGCTAATTGCTTACAATGCCAATTATGGTGAGAAGCCTTAGACAAGGGCAATAGCTACCTGTCAAAAAGGAACTCAATATTGAAAAGAAGGTCTTATGCTCTGGGTAAATAAGTGATTACCTGAATGTAAGTTGGATTCCATTGTGAAAAACACTAACTCTTCAGGCCAACAATGTACCACTGGAGGTCCACCCCCAAATAATGCTGTACATCTTCCAAAGGGCCTGACAACTGAACTATTACACCCGTTCAAAATGCAGCTTCCACACACTGTGCTTCTGTCTGTGTGTTGAAAGGGAGATAAACCAAATAAAGTTCTTGCAATTTCCCCATCTTATTCATTAGTCAGAGAGGAAATTTAACATTCTCTGCAACACAGGACCCTGTGCTTGCCCGATTTCTCTAGGGAACTCTGGACTGCCTTCCTGATTCTCGTCTCTCAGTCAACCTTTTCTCCCCCTCCCTTTGCCAACATTAGAAAAGAAGTTAACAAATGGATCTAATTACCACAGTGGTTTGAGGCTTCTTGACTTTTTTTCCCTTCCAGCTGTAAAGATGTCCTCAGACTGAGCTGCACATTCAGAACTGCTGTCAGACTCTCGCTTTAATGGGCACTTAAATTTAATGTCAAGCTGATGCCTGTGGAAGACCTTGATTAAATTTGCAAACAGTAGACTCTAACCAAACCAGAACTTTAGAGTTGTCTCATTTCGCCTTTCAAGCTTAAATCCCAGAAGTTTTCTTTTCTTCTTTGCAAAGAATTACAAAAGTTTGCTTGTAAAGACCCTGAGTATCAGTAAGACAGCAAAGTGTAACAAGCAAAACATCCTGCATACTTTTAGAGAGAGAAGAAATCCCTCAGGTTATTAAAATTCTATGTGAATTAAAGATCTTTCCCATTGCTTTATTCCATTCCCAGCTCATTCAAAATATAACTATTCACTTTCACGACTCTATATTATAAGCAGTCCTAAAAAGTTTACTTAAAATCTTCATAGTGTTCTTTTATGCACATGGCAATTAAGAGTTTTGCACTGTATGTGCAGAGTGAAAAACATTATGGAGAAACAACATGAAAGAAAAACGATAGAATCTCCACTAACAATGTCACTGCTTCAATCAGCTACATGTTTCCAACCTAGTTTCTTTCCTCTGCTGTTTCTTTTTTGTCTTTGATAATCATACAGCCTCTCTTCCTGGAAGAGGTAATAAAAGACTAGAAGTTAAAAGATCTGGAAACTCATATTCTTTTTCATTGGCTAATTTTGAAAAGAGGTTGCTGGCTTTTGATTTTTTTCTTCTGGGTTCTTCCTGCATCATCCAATTCAAACAGGTCTGCTATCAAAGAAAACAAATCAAAACTGTCAAGACTTGCAAAGCATGAAAAATAAGTTGTTTTTTTTCCAGCTCCAAAAAGTACCAGAAAAACATTAATTTCCATCTTCTTATATAAACCTCTAACCCCTAGTCTCTAATCTATAGAGTTCACAAAATGTTTATATATTCTTCTGTATAATACAGGACAGGAAATCAAACCTTATTACAAAGAAATTGAACTAATACAACTAATATTTAAACTAGTGTTATTTTGGAATTTGACTAGATACATATAAAAACATTCAAGTAGGATGATTGACACAAATTCTTCTGCTGGTATAAAATAAATAGTCCACTAAGACACATCTCCTGTGTTGTTAATGGCTCTGCCTTTTTAGTTGGTGGAAGCACAGGCTTCATAAAAAGAGAATATGAGGCAGTAGAAAAAGACAGCCTTGCAAAATTCTGCCAGATATGAAATATCCTGTCATAAGATTTCTTATTGAACTACAGCGGTGAGACTGCTTCTAATATTTCCCTTCTTTCAACACAACAGAGAACTACATTTCTATGCTTGCTTAGCTCTGCAGTTAAAACAGCTCCATGTAACACTTGTTCTTAATATTTAAATAAAAAAAAAAGGACTTGTGGTTTTGCAGTTTATGGATAAAGTGGTAGGCAGTCATCAGATTGCTGCTGAGAACTATAAATAATAAAAGAGTAGCAGATGGTTTCAGAAAGGAGAGATTTATAGGGATAGTTTGTAGTGGAATACTACTACTTTCTGAACTGGGTAACAATAAGTCACAAAGACAAAGCTCAAATAGTATCTCATTTAATTATGTTATTAATGTTCAAAGAAACCTTTGACTCCAAAGCCTAAACTAAAAACCTGATCACCTGACATTTTTAGGTTTTGATGATCTGATCTGTTTAAATCCTTTTCATATTGATGCAGTTTATCACAGGATTAAAAACATGGTGCTTCTAACAGTCCAGTTTTCTGAATACAATGTCTTATTTTCAATTTAGTTAGTATCTGATTCAAGAGGCTAAAGCAAAAGTACGCCTCTTTCCTAGGAAAAGAGACTGAAATAGACTAATGTTTTTCAGATAATTTGAGGTAATAGGTGAGGAAGATTTAAATTTCAAACTGGATCTCCTAAGAGTCCCAAATACTCTGGGTGAGTGAGTAGAGACCCCAGGGAGGAAATCAGTTGGATAAGGAGATCTACAAGGACACTGCTCCACAACGCACACAGGGACAGGGATCATCCACCCTCACCTCACCTCCTTGACAAAGGCAGGTGGAGAAAGTGGGAAACTGATCTAGTATGTCTGTAATTGTCCACAACATTTACAAAATTCCATTGCTGGCACTGGAAGGAAGAGGTTACTGTAACTATTAGAATATTCATTACTGAAGTTACTAAGTTTATCAGACTTATTTGGTAAGTCACAGCAACCACAGAAGAATAAGGTACGGAAGCTGGACGGTGGAATAGAAAAACACTTTAGACTTAAAACCTTCTTGCTTTAGGAATGGTCTGGTCTTTGTGAAACTGCCCCCAGAGTGAATGGAAAATGGCAGCAGATAAGAAGTGCCATTATTTCATATAATAAAATACTTATTCCTTAATAAATATAACTGCCTATACAAATTCTGTTTCTCTTGATTCCCAAGTCACAATTCATTTCAGTAGAGTCTGCTGCTACTCAAGGGGGCCAGATGTAGAATAACCACAAATAGGCCAACTTAAAAAAAAGTTTAAAATCTTCATTGGCTATTGGCAGTGTGTTGGATGTACCGAAATACCATTTTTAAAAACTGAAGGACAGGGGCCGGCCCGGTGGTGCACTGGATAGTGCGCCGCTTGGGAGGCGCGGCGGCGCTCCCGCCCGAGGGTTCGGATCCCACATACAGACCGGTTCCCGCTCACTGGCTGGGCGAGGCACGGGAGCAACACCGAGGGTTGC